GGGTATCTTTCCTCCTACAGAAATAGCTTGAAGCCTGTGTCCCAGGGGTAGCCCATGCAACAGAGCTCTGCCACCGTCACCCCTGAAGGCTGGGCATGGCGCTGATGGTCTCTTGTAAATGGGGTCAGTCTCCTCTCTGACATTCTGACCCTATGACCCCAGCAGTCCTCAGCCTGAGAGTCAGGAGCTCCCTTCAGCTGCCTCTCCCTGTATCTTACCAGCCTCACACCCTGAACACCAGCCTCACTCATCTGCTCACCCTCTGTTTTGGATGGTCTCCGTTGGCCCTCTGGATCTACTTCCAGCCCTTCCCCACCCTGCTCTATGCCCGGGAGGCCGACCTGTGTGGACTGGATCAACAGCCGCCCCCAACTCTAAGTCTTCCAGTGGGGTTCCACCAATGGGAGGTGAAGGCAGGAGAGCAGAGGGTGGGGAGAGAGTGAGGTTGCCCAGGCTGACCATGTCCCTCCACTGAGGGCCCCTGCTCCTGTAGACAAGCTCCCTTGGGGTTCCAGGAACCACTCCCACCCCTTACCTCCTCAGGCCTGGAGTAGTCCCACTGTCCCCAGCCCCTGTGATTCACCAGCCCACGTTGGTTTCCCTGAACCCCACCCACTCCTTTATAATTAGCCCTGTATTATATCTCCCAACTCTGCAGGACCTGGACTGGCCTGCTTACTCCAGCCACCTCCATGCCTTTGCTTTCACCACCATCTTTTTTTTTACAAATTTACTTATCTATTTATTTATCTATCTATTTATTTATTTAGGCTGCGTTGGGTCTTTGTTGCTGTGTGCGGGCTTTCTCTAGTTGCAGCGAGCAGGGGCTACTCTTCGCTGCGGTGCGCAGGCTTCACATTGCAGTGGCTTCTCTTGTTGCGGAGCACAGGTTCTAGGCACACGGGCTTCAGTAGTTGTGGCACGTGGGCTCAGTAGTGTGGCTTGCGGGCTCTAGAGCACAAGCTCAGTAATTGTGGCACACGGGCTTAGTTGCTCCACGGCATGTGGGAATCTTCCCGGACCAGGGCTCAAACCCACGTCCCCTGAATTGGCAGGTGGATTCTTAACCACTGCGCCACCAGGGAAGCCCTCACCACCATCTTTGATGCTGGGCCCTTGTGTATGCCCCCCGGCTTCACTGAAACCCAGATCGACTCAACTCCTCCAAGTGGACGCTGCCACTGCACTGGGGTCCAGCACCCTGATTCCAACACATGAGGCCAATCCTGCTCCTCTATAGGATGAGGAGGGTGAACCAGCTGAGCCCTGAAGTTCCTTCCAACCCACATTCTCCTCTGCTCCACATCATGCATCCCTTAGCCAGATGGCTGGTGTTGAGGTTCAAATTCCACTGAAAAATCCAAATGACATTCTGGCTGTAATTTTCTCTCCTCTGAACTCCCATTCTATTCTCATCAATACCTCTCATCACATCCTCTGTTAGCATTATTCATGCATGGGAATCTCCCCTTCTAGGCTGCAAACTCCCTAGTTCCATCTTGCGCTTCTGGTGAAACACTTTTCTTTCGGCCTATCTCCCTCCTCCCCCCGCCCAATCTCAAGAATGCTTACTGTTGTAAATATTGACTGAAATGGGGGAGGGACCAGTAAGGCCCGGACACTCTGGATGATGTTGTACAATGATATTTACCAGACAATGACTACACAGCAGGTATGTTATATCCATCATCTCGCTTTGCCCTCACCACAGGCCTACAAGGTAGGCGTTACTCCCGTATTACGTATGTGGAAACACAGAGGTTAAAAGCAACTTGTTCCAGGGGACTTCCCCGGTCGTCCAGTGGTAAAGAATCCACCTTCCAATGCAGAGGACGTGGGTTCGAGCCCTGGTCTGGGAAGGAAGATCCCACATGCCCTGGGGCAACTAAGCCCACGCACCACAACTACTGAGCTCACGCACCTCAACGAGAGACCCCACGTGCCGCAAACTACAGAGCCCACTTGCTCTGGAGCCCACACGCCACAGCGAAGAACCCACACACCGCAACAAAAGATCCTGCATGTCTCAATGAAGATCCCAAGTGCCACAACTAAGACCCTATGCAGCCAAAAAATAAAGAAATAAAGAAAAACAAATAAATAAACAGTGTGATTAAAAAAAACAGGGACTCCCCTGGTGGCTCAGTGGTTAAGAATCCCCCTGCCAATGCAGGGGACATGGGTTCGAGCCCTGGTCCAGGAAGATCCCACATGATGTGGAGCAACTAAGCCCACGCACCACAACTACAGAGCCTGCATGCCACAACTACTGAAGCCCACGTGTCTAGAGCCCATGCTCCACAGCAAGATAAGCCACGGCAATGAGAAGCCCACACACTGCAACAAAGAGCAGCCCCCGCTCACCGCAACTAGAGAAAGCCTGTGCGCAGCAGTGAAGACCCAACACAGTCAAAAATAAATAAATTAATTAATTAATGGGAAAAAAATAAATTAATTTTTAAAAAAAGTAACTTGTTCCAGAAAGGGCTGGAGCCAGAAGTGAAAGCACAGGTGTATCTGATTCCAAGGCCTATCACCCGTTCCTCTGCTCCACCCTGCAGTGTGTGTGATAACAAGACGCAACATGGGGATTTCCCTGGCAGTCCAGTGGTTAAGACTCTGCACTTCCACTGCAGTGGGCATGGGTTCAATCTCTGGTTGGGGAACTCAGATCCCGCATGCCGCAAGGCACAGCCAAAAAAAAAAAAGATGCAACGTGGGCCCTGACCCAAATGAGACAAGTCTCATTAGAGGATGTAATTAAGGGTTCATGGAGCAGCACCCTTCTGAAGAGCCCTTCCAGACTTTCCTGAATGAATCACCGAGACGTTAGGACATTACTGTTCTCTATGAAGCTCGGCCAAAAGGTCTCAAAAGTAATTAGTTCCTTTAAGCTAAACATTTCCCCAGCAATCTGGTTTACGCTTTAATTGGCTTAGAGTATTGGAGAGGGAGAAAAAGTCAACTTTAGCCCAGCCCCTGCGGAAATATTTCCCATACATTTTATGGATAAAATTCATTCCCTTTGGCCGCTTGCTTCTGCCAAGCCTGAGGGAGGGCAGATCAGGGAGCAGGGCAGGTGATGCTCCAGTCAGTCCACCAACGAGGAAGGGGAGGTTCGTTTCTGAAGTCTGAATTACTGAAGCTTTACTGGCCGTTCTCATTCTCATCAAGTCACCTGGGACCACCGCCCCTGTGGGCTCTTGGCTTTGGTCATCTCATGCACCACTCCTCTTCCTTCCCTTTCCGCAGGCCCTGGGGTTTGGACCTGTGTCCTTCTGCTCTTTGGAGCTGCCTCTGTTCCATTAATCATTGGTACTTCCCTCTCTCAGTGGAGACACCAAGCTGAGTCTCTATCCGGAGCCCCTGGGTCTCCCTCCCAGGTCTGGGTAGAGAAGGGCATGGATCGGGCTGCCAAGGTCAAATTCCCTCTCGTCCCATCCTTGGGCCTCTTCTGATCACCAGAAGGAGTGAGCACAGCTATGAAGGTCACGGGAAACTCCCTTCAGCTCTGAGTCCAGTAAATTCACCCCCACCTCCTCAACCCTGGAAGAAAACATTCTTCACCTCCCAGACTTTGACCTCATCCTTGCTTGGCCAGATCCTCTTCTCTAAGAGTAAGGAGGTCTGCTCCTTCTTTGTTCAGACAGGAACCAGGGGCTGCAAGGACCCTCCCCCTTGACCAGTTCCCCCTTTTATTCTCTGCACCTGAAAACCAGCTGGCACAGAAGGTCTAAGGGAAGAAGGAAGCAGAGACGGGAACGAGACAACAGCTGCCACATCCTTGCCAGCCTCTGTCACCTGGCTCCTTTTCCTAATCCAGTCATTCCTTCAACAGCCATTTATTAACACCTACTGTGTGCTGGGCAACTTTCCAGGTGCTCAAAATGTAAGAGTTAATGACAGATGAAAATCCTTGCCCTCATGGAGCTGACACATGACAAACAAGATAAATAAGTAAACCAGAGTATCGTTTATGGCTTATGGTGAAAAGTGATAAGGAGGCAAAATTAAGCAGGAAAGGGTGGAGAGGCTGAAATGTTAGATGGGGTAGCCAAGGGAAGACCTTGATAGGGTGATGTCTGAGCCAAGATCTGAGGGAACTGTGGAGGGGCCACGTGAACATCTGGGGAAAGAGCATTCCAGGAAGAAGGAACAGCAAGTACAAAGGTCTTGAGGCAGGAAGAGGCAGGTGTGGCTGGAGTGGAGTGATGGAGGGGATGAGCAGGAGGGAATGGGTCAGTCAGGTAAAGGAAGTCAGATCCTGTAGGGCCTGTTGAGTCACCACAGAGACTTTAGTTTTGCAAGATGGGAGCTACCGGATGGTTCTGAACAGAGGAGGGACAGAATTTGACTTGGGTTTTAATAGGATTCTTCTGGCTTTTGGGTGGGGAATAGACTGAAGGTATCTAGCAGCCACCCACTAAAAGTGTCTGTGATTCTTAAGAGCGAGCACTTCAAGTCTGCCCTCTCCTTAAACACCCTATCACAAGGGGCAAAAGGCCTCTGGTGGGGACAATGGAATTGAGACAAGGCTGGAAAAGCGGGCCATCCTGAGTTATGGCAGAGCTTGGACGTCAGACTAAGCAGCTGAGACTTGATTCAAAGAAGAGGGGAGTCACCAAAGGTTTCTGAGCAGGGGAATCACCTAACTAAAGCCACACTCACTCACATTAGTCAAAAACCACGGGAAGGCTGCTCTGGCTGAGACATGGTGCTAGAGGCTGTACCCATGTCTCTGGTCATGATCTTGGTGGGCCTGGACTCCCTGTCTCCCCCCTCAGACTGGGGCTCCCTGAGGACAGGAACTTTCTCTCCACCTTTAGTCTCTTCTTGCATCAGCAAGGACAAGACTCTGCACACCTTACTATCCTTCACGGGGGTTTAGATGCTGAAGTTGGAAACACATCAGGTGGGATGACTGCAGAGTTAGATGCACAGACAGACAGACAATCAGGAACAGGCTGATGTTTCCACGGTGGGAGAGGGGCTGTACCTACCTCCCGCCACTGCTTGTTCTCCATCCCTTGAGTATACATGACGCATACTGTGAGGAGAGGAGAGAAAAAAGGGTTAACAGCCCAGGCCAAGAGGAAGGTGTGGGCCCCAGATGCAGAGGGCCCTGGAGGGTCAGGCGCCTCAGGACACTACGGCCTGGGTAGCAGTGTTGGGTCTGGGTGGGGTCGGCTTGGAGGAGGGGGCCCAGAATATAGGTGTGTCTGGGAGGGGCACCCTTTGGGAGGAGGGCCGGGGTCACTCACATCTAGGCTAGAGCAAGTGTAAAGTGTGAGGCAGGTAGACAGGTGTGCATGACGGAGGACTGAGTGGCAGAGGTGTGGCAGGAGAGAGCATCTGAAACCCGCTTGTCCCTTTAGAGCCCAAGGTGGCCTCATGGGGCCTATTATTATCATCAGCCCCACTTCCCTGATGGGGAAACTGAGGATCAGAGGAGGCCAATGAGTTGTCTGAGGTCATATACTTGAGCAGCATTGCTTAGGGCTAGAACCCTGGGCTCCAAAATCAGTGCTCATCCCCCTAGGCCACAGATATTTGGGGATCTTAAATGCACTGGTTTCCCTGGGGCTGAGACCTTCTGAGCCCTCCCTACCCACTTGGTTGTGTTGAGGCTTCACAAGTACGGGGCTGGGAAGGGTCAGACCTCCAAGTTTTCTTTCTCCAGACAGTATCTGTGAAACATTAGATAGCCTTGATGTACTGGGAACGATGCCTAGTACATAGTGAGCACTCAGTACAGGCTCCTGTGTTGGCTACTGTAGTAGTCATAATGCCGTCGTAGCAAAGGAAACTATAAACAAAACAAAAAGACAGTCTACATACAGACTGGGAGAAAAGATTTGCAAATGATGCGACCAACAGGGCTTAATTTCCAAATATACAAACAGCTCCTACAGCTCAATAACAGAAAAAGCAAACAACCCAATCAAAAAATGGGCAGAAGACCTAAACAGACATTTCTCCAGAGAAGACATTCAGATGGTCAATAGACACATGAAAAGAGGCTCAACATCGCTAATTATTAGAGAAATGCAAATCAAAACTACAATGAGGTATCACCTCACACCAGTCAGAATGGCCATCATCAAAAAGTCTACAAAGAAGAAATGCTGGAGAGGGTGTGGAGGAAAGGGAATACTCCTACACTGTCGGTGGGAATGTAAATTGGTGCAGCCAATATGGAAAACAATATGGAGGTGCCTTTAAAAACTAAAAATAGGGCTTCCCTGGTGGCTCAGTGGTTGGGGGTCTGCCTGTCGATGCAGGGGATGCGGGTTCGTGCCCCGGTCCGGGAGGGTCCCGCATGCCGCGGAGCGGTTGGGCCCGTGAGCCATGTCTGCTGGGCCTGCGCGTCCGGAGCCTGTGCTCCGCGGCGGGAGAGGCCACGGCAGTGAGAAGCCCGCATACGGCAAAAAAAACCAAAAAACAAAACACAAAAAACTAAAAATAGAGCTACCATACGATCCAGCAATCCCACTCCTGGGCATACATCTGGAGAAAACTCTAATTTGAAAAGATACATGCACCCCAATGTTCATAGCAGCACTAGTTACAATAGCCAAGTCATGGAAGCAACCTAAATGTCCATGGACAGATGAATGGATAAAGAAGATGTGGTACATATGTATGGTGGAATATTAGCCACAAAAAGAATGAAATAATGCCATTGCAGCAACATGGATGGACCTAGAGATTATCATACTAAGTGAAGTAAGTCAGACAGAGAAAGAGAACTATCATATATCATTTATGTGTAGAATCTAAAAAGTGATACGAATGAACTTATTTACAAAGCAGAAATAGACTCACAGATATAGAAAACAAACTTATGGTTACCAAAGGGGAAAGGTAGGGGGGAGGGATAAATTAGAAGTTTGGAATTAATACTATATATAAAATAGTTAAACAACAAGCTCCTACTGTACAGCAAAGGGAAGTATATTCAATATCTTGGAATAAACTATCATGGAAAAGAAAAAAATAAAACATAATGCCGTTGCTGTTGTTGTTACTGTTATTACTGTCAGTGCAGGACTTACATGGGTCAGACTTGGAGAACATGTCTTTGTCCAAAAGGTTCCTGAAAGAGGGGGAGAGAGCAGGAGTTAGCACAGCCCAAGGATCTCAGGGGATTCAGGCTGTTACTGAGATCTGGAGGCTGCCTCGGGCCTGGCTTCAGGCAAATGGGAAGCAGGAGGCTCCTTCAGCACAGTTTATTAGGGTTCATTGGAGCTGGCTGAGCCCCAGAGGTTCCTCAGCTCAGCTCCTAGGGTGTGTGGTGCTTCCTGCTTCTCACCCCTGCCACCAACACACACTCCTGTGGACCCTGGTGCTCTGGATCCCACAGCCCCTTGCTCTTGGGCCGAAACACAATCTGCCCAATGTTGTAGAAATTGTTCTAGAAATTCTCCTTTTACCACTTCTCTGTCTCTGAAAAAATAAAGTGAAATCAAGCCACTAATGTACCATTCTCTCAGGGCTCTACTTACAGCCAGTTTATTCAATCATCTCACCTGTGCCAGTGGATTAATTAATGATACCTCCCAGGGGATGCAGACTCATTTGAACAGGGTCCTTTTGTGGTCAAGGCCAGAGCTAACACATGGTCCTAACAATTAGACTTGAACTCATGCAGCAAGATGACTGGGAATTCCCTGGTGGTCCAGTGGTTAGGGCTCCGCGCTCTTATTCCCAGAGTCCCAGGTTCAATCCCTGGTTGGGGAACTAAGATTTTGCAAGCCACACAGCGTGGCCAAAGAAACAAACAAACAAAAAATGATGGACACATGTTTGGAGGCAGAGAGCTCTCACAACAGGAGCGGAGTCCCTCCTTCCCTGCCTCTGTGCAATCATGGCTCCTACTCACTGAACCCCAGGCACTGCGCTAAGCGTTCTGCAAATATTAGCTCCCAATTCTCACTCTGTCCTGGAAGATCAGTACTGGGTAAGCATTATCCCATCTCACAGATGGGAGATCATAGGGAGATCAGGCAAGGGCATGTCCTGCACATCTGGTGTCCCTCACTCCACAGTGACCCACTGCTGTCAGGAAGCAACATGGCTCAAAGAAAACTTGGTCTCTGGCTGGGAAGTGACTTAACCTCTCTGAGTCTGTTTCCTCATCTGTACAATAGAGAGAAGAGTGCCAGCTCTGAAGGTTGCTGATGCTCGGCCCTACCCCTTCAGCCCTCCTAGTTCCTGTACACACCCACAGTTTCCTCCTACTTCTCTTCCAAGGGCTTTCTCGGGGAGGCAGGGCTGCAAGTACCAGGAAGTTTACACTCCCCACGGCAGCCAATGATGGGCAGGAGTTGGAGGATAAATGCCCGGCTTCCTGACTCCCCCCGGGACAGCTCTGAGCTGTGCTTCACACAGCCTCCCAGAGGTGCCCACCGGGAGACCCACTCATTGAAGACCCTTGTTGACTCGAGCAAGGGCTTTATTGCTGAAGGGGCTTCCTGTGAGCCCTCCCACCTGTTGGAGCTACTGACTCCTTCCTACACTGTCCTAAGGTCAAGCTCTGCCCTTGCCAACCATCTTACCCATGTCCCACTTGCCTCCCAGATGTCCCCGGGGGTCTTCTCGTCCCCTCCTCCACTCCCCTACTCCCCCACGGGCCCCGATGTCCCTTGCACCCTTTCCCCAGAGAGGAGAAACACTAGGCTATGTGGCTTCCTGCCAGCCAACTCCAAATATCCGAGCTGGATGGGCCCCTCAGGATCATCTGTTCCACCTTCTCCTTGAGGAGGGGGAAACTGAGGTCCAGGAAGGGGCAGGGAGTAGCCATGCTGCACAAGCAGTGGCAAAGCCAGAAAGGTCTAGAAGGAGACCTCACCCTAAGTCACCATCACTGAAGCCATCAGCAGTGACAGCCTGTCTGGACAACTTGACCCACAGTCAACCCCACCACCCATGCTCCCCACTCTGAGGTGGGAGCCAAAGACCAACCAACAGACAGATAGATGCAACAGCAGCCTGGTGCCAGGATATGGCATCCTCTGCTACCCGGGGAGGTTCCAGATGGTGCTCATCAATCATACCAGCTCTGGTCCCCGACCAGATTCCCATCCTCTGCTCCAGTCTCTTCATTCAGGGTCCTCTCCCCAGAGGCAGCTACCCTGCTAGCCCTCCATGACCCAAAGGCACAGGACCCTTCTGCTGGCCTCCATCACCCCTCTCCCAGACCTGCTCCCAGCGGCTGTCCCTTTGGAAACCTTCTGATAAACCTCCCAGCCCACTGCCGTGAGCATCAGATGAAATGATACACAGGCAGCTCTGAAAAGTAGGCAGCAGGAGCTACAGGTAAGATACCAATTTGATATATGCTCATCCACACCGAGATGGGCTGACCTGGACCTGGGCTGACCCTCCCCTCCTGTAGTGTGCTAGGATTCGGGGCAGGAGTGTCTGTCTTGATTTAAACAAAGGACAAAATGCCTAAATTCCAAAGATGCCTCTACAGTGGTGGAACTTGAGATGCGGTGAGGAGCTGGAAAGTAATACAGAGGGTTGGGAGATGGAGGAAGAGGGGGCGGGGTGAGGGGGACTCCTATAAAGCAAGTGCTGAGGTTTATCTTTGAATTCTGTAATGAAATTCTATAATTACATAAAATTCTAGAATGTTCAATCTGGAAGGGACCTCAGAGGTCACCTTTTCTAATTCCTTTGTAAATCAGGAGTGTGAGACTCGGAGAGAAGGCAATTGACTTCTCCAAGGTCTGTGCCTCCTCCAAGTTTAGTTCTGGAACTCAGGTTCAGTCATGTCTAAGCTAGTGAGAAAGAGAGTGAGACCGTGTGTGTGTGTGTGTGTGTGTGAGAGAGAGAGAGAGAGAGAGAGAGAGGGAGAGATTGACAGAAAGAGAGAGAGATACAGATATGGGGTCTTATCTTGAAAGAGAAGCAGATGGGACCTGCCTGGGCGAGAAGCACACAGCTGGACTAAGAAATAGAACCCAGCCACCTAGCTTCAGTGGCGCCCTGCCCAGTGACCCTCCGGACTCTCACTGAGCCGCGTGGCATGGGTCATCCTGGCTATGGCACCTGAAGATAATGCAAACCCTCTTCCCCCTACTCTGCTGAGATCATCCTTACCATCCTTCCAGAACCATTCCTGTTCATTCTCCTCAATTCTGCCTTCCTTGGACAGACACTGACCAACAACCATTTCCTCTGAGCTCTCTCTGGCCTGTACTGTGCCATCCTCTGACTTATAGGACCCGTTACCACACTCAGCACACCCTGGACTGCAAAATCAGGGGTGCCTCTGTCTCTCACACGGGGAAGGGTCCCCAACTCTGCTCCAGGCCAGCCTAGCACCTGACTCAGAGCAGGGTCCTGGCAAATTGGATGGATGAAGGAAAACGAAAAGGAACGGCCAATGGGTGAGCAAGCCTCTTGTCTCCCAACATGGTCATGCTCAGGGCCGGCCCCTATACTTCCTCTTAGCTGTAGAGCCTAATGGTTAAGTATATGGACCGCAGTCAGATAAGCTGGGTTCACATCCCACCTCTGGACAAGTCACTTGCCTTCCTGTGCCTCAGTTTCCCCACCTGTAAAGTGGAGTTAAAACACAGTTCCTCCCTTAGGACTGCTGTGGAGCACTTGGACAGAGCGAGGCTCATCACACAGGTGAGTCTTCCTCATCGGCCTGGTGCTGAGCGGAGCGGTCATTCTCCTGGTGGGTGCTCAGGCTCACTTGGTGACAAAGGAGAGACGGGACAGGTGACACAAGCCACTTCTACTTACAGGTCCCAGGAAGCCCATCCCATCACATACACTCCCAGTGCCCTGTTGGGGTTGATCCACTGAGGACTCCAAGGCCCAGAGATGGTGAGTGACTTGCCCACAGGCACAGAGCCAGTAAGAAGCCAAGGGGTAAAAAACCAGGTCTTCCAACGCGAAGCAGGGCTCAAACCGCAAGGACACAGAGAGACCAGACCATACGTGCTTTTCTCCACTATCTTTCTTTGGAGAGCTCAAAGAGACTTTTTTCCAACAGGCAAATGTATTTTTCCCCCCCCAAAAGCATAAAATTCTTCAGATGTCCTAGTGACAGCCTAAAGCTTGGCTTCTTTTGTTCCTTAAATCAAGATCAGGGAGCAGAGCAAAATGCTCTTATCCTCACTGCTCTCCCCCCCAAAATCATTTCAAAAACAGTTGCAGGAAGAACGACCATGCACTGGGCGTTGAGAAGACCCCACCAAAGACAGAAAGCACTGGAAAGGCTGAAATGAGCACTGCCTGGTGCTAAAGGACAGGGCCTGAGGGTGACACCTTCGCAATGAGAAGCTTACAAGAGTCAGAATACAAGCTGGGGCTCTCCAGTCAGAAAGAGGAAGAGATGCAGCCCTCCGCTCAGGGAATCTTGTCGGAGGAAAAACAGCAATGCCATCAGGGAGCTGCAGCCTGAGGGGAGACCCAGCCTTGTCCTCAGGGAGCCCCAGTCTGGGGGGAGACACAGCCCCGCCCTCGGGAAGCCCCGGTCTGAGGGGAGACACAGCCCCGTCCTCGGGGAGCCCCGGTCTGAGGGGAGACACAGCCCCGCCCCCGGGAGCCCCGGTCTGAGGGGAGAACAGCCCTGTCCTCAGCAAGCCCTAGTCTGAGGGGAGACACAGCCCCGTCCTCAGGTAGCCCCGGTCTGAGGGGAGACGCAGCCACGCCCCCGGGGGCCCCAGTCTGAGGGGAGACACAGCCCCGTCTTCGGGAAGCCCCGGTCTGAGGGGAGACACAGCCCCGTCCTCGTGGAGCCCCGGTCTGAGGGGAGAACAGCCCTGTCCTCAGTGAGCCCTAGTCTGAGGGGAGACACGGCCCTGTCCTCAGGGAGCCCCCGTCTGAGGGGAAACACGGCCCAGCCCTCAGGGTGCCCCAGTCTGAGGGGAGACACGGCCCTGTCCTCGGGAAGCCCCGGTATGAGGGGAGACACAGCCCCGCCCCCGGGGAGCCCCGGTCTGAGGGGAGACACAGCCACGCCCCCGGGGAGCCCCGGTCTGAGGGGAGAACAGCCCTGTCCTCAGCAAGCCCTAGTCTGAGGGGACACGCAGCCCCGCCCCCGGGGGCCCCAGTCTGAGGGGAGACACAGCC